TTCAAGTTTACGAGTGTATGATGGCATGTTATATGTTCAAATTATGTGTGCGTTTTTCGTGTGCGTGTGTTTTCGTATGCGTGTGTATGTGTGTGCGTTTTCGTGTGTATGTTCAAATGAAGTGATGGATTAAGGTTATACAGGGTAGCATTTTTTCTTTTCGTGCTCGGATTAATCATGTAAAGAAAGTCACTGACTGACATTTGAGAAATATTGCCCTTGTCAGGAAACATATGATTGAGAAAACTAATAAAACGCTTCTTCACAACTACGTCATCTGCAAGCTGGATTATTGCAACTCATTCTGTTATAGTTTGCCAGACTATCAGTTTTAGAAGTTAAAAAAATGAATAATCAGCGGGTTACTTCATCATGAGGAAATGATCCCAGCACTCATTGATTTACATTAGTTACCTGTTAGGGCAGAAATTTATATATATGCATATGTGTGTATATATGTATATATATATATATATATATATATATATATATATATATAATATATATAATGTGTGAAAATACGGATTGATAGATAATTAGATAAACAGGTATTTGGAGATGCCAGCACGGTACCTGTACAGAGGGACCATCGCGCAGCTTGGTCCTTCTGACATTGCTAGTTTTGCTTTATGGAAGTAAAACCTGATATCCTCGAATCACCTAACTTGCTGACTCGCCTAGAACGCTAACATCAAGCTATTTCTACCACTACAAACAACAGAGGTGTCAGTGTACTCACTCTCGTGCCCGCATATTCATCAATTTTACTTTACTTCCTCGCCAGTGGTGAGAACGGCCTCATTTGATGATTTGAAGGGGTAACTCGTTCAAACTTAGCAGCTCTTTCGCCCCGCTCCAGGTTGTTCATCTGTTAGTGTTTTATATGTCAGTTGATCGTGCATCAATATTCTCATGAATTAAATGCATTATCCCACAGCACGAGCTAACTTCACAAGGATATCGACGAATAACATGCTATGTTTATATGCACAATGCCGGGAATGCTGGAGAATGAAAATCTCTCTCTCTCTCTCTCTCTCTCTCTCTCTCTCTCTCTCTCTCTCTCTCTCTCTCTCTCTCTCTCTCTCTCTCTCTCTCTCTCTCTCTCTCTCTCTCTCTGTATATTCATGTAATTGTGTTATAAAAAGTGGTCCCCATGAACCAGCATCAGCTAGCTAAATAATTTCCATATTTGTCTCTTATTGAAATAGTAAATGAAAATGCATTAGGCGCGAGTGAAATAGAGTTCTATTGAAATGAAGAATGAAGTAAGTACCGCAATATGAGAGAGAGAGAGAGAGAGAGAGAGAGAGAGAGAGAGAGAGAGAGAGAGAGAGAGAGAGAGAGAGAGAGAGAGAGAGAGAAGAGAGAGAGAGAGAGAGATGAATGAAGAAACTAATGCAATATTAGCGAGAGCCGCAGCAATAACTATATTTTCAAGAAAAGTACCTAAAGCTTTCTGATCAAGTAGGATTCGAAGTAAGTTTAGAGTTGATTGTTATTTCCCTCGAACAAGGATAAGACAGATAACTAGGTAATTAGAAAGTGTAATGTGTTTCATTGCTGTGGGTAATAACGTATAAAGGAGAAATGAGAAGCTCGTTTGGTAATCAGGTGGTTAACGAATGGAATAGGCCCCCATATCACGTGATTTGTGTCAAGCCTCTAAGTAGCTTCGAGGTTGCATTCTAATTATATGAGTGAAAAAGTGGGTATAAATGCGTTTCTGCCATTAAGATCTGATGGTGATTGGGCGAAATTAATTTATAAGGTATTGTCCTGTCTGTAACAACTGGTCTTTTGCAGATAACACTAACTTGTTATGAGCGAAAGAGAAGTTAGTAAGCCTAACGATGTCAAATGCACGAGCTCTGTCTGTTGAGCGAGGCCAGAATCTGTATTTCATCATGGCAACTTAGTAGTGAGAATGGAGGCAATGTTCATTTTGGGATAAATATAAAAATGAGAAAGAATTCCAGCGTTGGAAAGAACCTTATGAAAGCAGCACCTGTGTCAACGTGCATATCCTTGAGAAGAGCGATGGAATTATTTAGCTGGCTGATAAGAACCATTTTCCACGACACTAGCGGATGAATATACCCGCTGTTCAGTGTGGATATAATTTTCATTCTTCAGTATTCGTTCTCTGAAGACACATACAGTAAATCATTTTTTTTCCATTTATTCCTTGTGATGTTACCCCATGCCAGTGGAATTGTGCATTTTATGCGTGCGAAAAATATTGCACGATCAACTGATAGTAATGACACATGCAGTTTGGAACGGGGCTACCGAGTTGCTGAGTTTGAGCGAGTTTACCTTTCAAATTGTCAGTAGCAGCCGTTCTCGCCACCAGCGTGGGTGTGGACTACGGTTGGTGGATATGCCTCCCATGCCCTCCGAACAATTGCAAGCGAATACCAGGTATATCAACTATTAAAGAGAAAAGCAAAAGGTAAATCTCATGGTCAAGAAAATTTGCGAAAAAAATTGCTCCCACGCTTGCCACCCTTCTATGTGATATTCTCAACAGCTCTCTGACTGAGGGCATTGTTCTTGCCCTGAAGAAGCAAGTCGTCACAGTTCTAATCCCCAAAACAAACACATAATTCTCTCGACGACCTTAGGCCCCATCTCACTCACCTATACAAAATCGTCGGGGGAATAATTGCAGAGGAACAGTGGAAGGCATTCACCCCCGAATTCGCCTACGAAAGGCATTCAAACTCATCGATCACATCGTTTAATCTAGAAAATGATGTCCCAGGGTTGCATTAAATGGATCTACTTCATCGACCTTTGCTCCCGGAGAACGCGAGCAAACAACCGAACATTCAGTAAGATCGAATACCACTGTGCCCATTTTAACCAAGAAAGTCATCAGAACGGAAACGAGATCTTACTTGTCAAACAGCATATTCATCAGTGGCGAAGGGAGGACAGCCAATGTTTTCTGGAGAAAGTCGAATAACTGGAAGCAGCAGCCCTAGTCTAAGGACATACTCAAAATGCGTCACTGACGATGGTTAGAAAGCCATTTAAAATGGAAAACAAGGCAGCTGGACCGTCAGAAGTAGCCGTCGACATGATTGAAGAGGTGCAGGAATGACGTGAAAGCGGAAGATCACGGAAAGGATGTAACAAGAGAATGCAGACAACCAGAGAGGATTCCCCTGGCGCCCCTCACGAGAAGATATAGGGCTGGAAAGTCGAAGAGATTGTGGACATGTGGAACATCCAGCAGGTTCAAACGTACTCGTGCAATGACGGAAGACACCTCATTTTAAAGTGACCCTTCCATGCCTTTGTCGGCGAGAACTGAATTAGCGAAGCCCGAGAAGTAAAAATGTCTCAAAACAAGCATACCTACGTGACGGGTAAAGCTATGGCGAGGATTTGTACCATACAGGAATGAAAGCTGAATTAAACCAAGATTCAGGCTGAAGTCCCCTGCTTTTTGTCATGTTCGTTTTCTGATCACGAATGCAACTACAGAGGATTTACTTGTGATATTTCCGGACGACCTCGTTATTACAGCAGTTATCAAGAAACAGCAGGTGGAGCAACATGGCATGAGGAAGGCGATGATAAAATGGAGACAACAAAGGGGAGAAGGCAAAAAGTAATGCCAAAGTTAAGAATGCATCTAAGGTTACGTTGGATCAGGTTGATGAGCTTATGTGGCCAGTGTCACAGATAAAGTGGGAATGAGGCTTGGTCGGAAAAGCATTACGATGACTGCATGGACAAAAAATTATCGATATGCCCCCACACCAAAGTTGTCATACGGTGCAGGATCTTCATAAAGAAAAAAAAAGAGACAAGTATGCCACGTGAGATTTGTTTGGTTACCCTATGGGAGAGTAAAACCAATGCGAAAGCAAAAAGTGGATCCGAGGAAGATAGCTTTTTTCAGAGTTGTATTTTTGTTCTTGCCTTTTTTTCCTTGTATCCACACGAGGAATAGGTCTGTGAATAACAGCACTCGACAGAAGCGTGGGCGAGAAATATATGTTAATACATTCTGTGTGGTGGTGGCTTCCACATCCCCACTACCCCCCCTCCCCTCCCTTATCGAAATGTCTAGATCCGACCCTGGGAAGGCAAGAATAGGGGAGAGAGAGGGAGACTGCAAATGCCGGAGGGATGATATGAAAGACAGGACTGAAGGATCTACTGAGGTCTCCGTTAGAAGTAAGCTTGCTGCACCAAAATACACGCGCGCGCGCGCGCACACACACACACACACACACACACACACACACACACACACACACACACACACACACACTCTCTCTCTCTCTCTCTCTCTCTCTCTCTCTCTCTCTCTCTCCTCTCTCTCTCTCTCTCTCTGCTCTCTCTCTCTCTCTCTCTCTCTCTCTCTCTCTCTCTCTCTCTCTCTCTCTCTCCTCTCTCTCTCTCACACGCACACACACACACACACAAGAACAAAGACACGTGGTTTTTTTCTAACTGTTCGGGAAGCTTCCTCCCTCCAATACAGACAGCTTTACACATTAGCAGGTATTAAGCAGCAAAGTGCCATACTATGAGAATATATTTTTTTTTAAATTTTGACGAAAAGAAAACAGATAGCAGTTATAAAAGTGTATGGTTCTGTGCCCCCCCCCCCCAACACACGCCAAGCTTAGAGACGCTATGTGTGTATTTATTTACTGAAATAGAGGGAAATGATGTCTTTTCAATATGTTATCTTAATAATGTGCACAAATAATATTTAACTTTTTAAAGTAAGAACGTCTTTAAATGTGCAGTGCGTGTCTAAGTACAACAGGGTCAAAATAATTACACCTAATGTTTCATAAACTAAAATTCTCTCATACAATAGAATATACTGGAAACGACTCCAAAATATAAAGGGATCAATTAGAAATATAAAAAGGACAGTTAAACATTTCTATAATAAAACAAAAATAATCGAAAAGGAGGACGTAAGATATCCGCGACCTCTATATGACCCTCGTAAACAAACCCTCGTGCAACCAGACGACTCAGAGCGGCTGACGGGTGCGGTCGGGAAAGCTGCCTTGTCATACTTCGATCGCCTCACGCAAAGGCAAATTTGTAGTTAATTATTTAATAATACTTTAACATCAATTTCCGTTCGACCGGTAATATCACACATTCACAAGCATAATGGAAGACTTCAATGGATTAGAGAAACGATTCGTGGAACAGCACAAAATTCAGCTCGAATCTTCGGGAGTGCCTAAACATTTGTGGCCAACGGTATTTAAGAAGCTGCAGGGACAGGTGAGGAAAAGGAGTAATATAGGGGTAACTCACGGAGATTCACAGGCAGTGATATTCCTGCCAAGCATGCTCTAAAAGGTTCAAGAATCCGTTCCCTCAGGATCAGTGGTGATGCACTTTTAAAGACATGTTACCGTCTCAATCGTAGTTTAATTAATAATAATAAAAAACACCACCCATTATAACCTCTCAAGTCATAAGCTTCGTGTAAAAACCGTAATACTTGTAAAGGGTGAAAGCTACACAACAAGCTTTCATCAGATTTTGAGAATCTTAGATATTGCTATGAGAAGTCGAGGGATATATACATAAATACAGTATAACAATTGAGTTATGATATAGCTTGTTATTTTTGGGTAATTATCAGTATGCCTATAAGTATTGACATAGATTGGCTTTATTGATGGTATTTTTATTAATTTATATCTGCTGCAGTTAAAGATGCAGTTCTTTCAAGAGGGCCATTTAAAGGTCTTCAGTGTTTTGCAGGAGTGATGGTTTTTGTTTTTAGGATTGTCAAATTTCCCTTGAATCTGCCCTTTAACTCTAAACAGTTTTTGGTAAATAGGGATTGCAGGAGCTAAAAATATATAATTAAAGAAAAAATCATACTAAAATCAAATGCAATAATTCATGTTCATATCTATTTAGTACAAACCAAATTGTACATAATTGTCTGACCATTCATACAGTGTATTATATCAAGAAATCTTAAAAATATATGTCTCAGCCTCCCCCTTGCAAAAAAAAAAATATATATATATATATATATATATATATATTTATACACGTGTTCTAGAATGCCTAAGATGTTGATTTCCCCTCTGCACCAGTCTGTTCCAGCCTGCCCCGCCCACCGTCTCATTAGACCCCCCCTCTCTCTCTCTCTCTCTGCGCACTTGCACACACACACAGACACACACACACAGACACACACACACACACACACACACACACACACACACACACACACACACACACACACACAACACACACACACACACACACACACACACAGACACACACACACACACACACACACACACACACACACACACACACACACACACACACACACACACACACACACACACACACACACACACACACACACACACACACACACACACACACACACACACCACACACACACACACACACACACACACACAACACACACACACACACACACACACACACATACACACACACACACACACACACATACACACAACACACACACACACACACACACACACACACACACACACACACACACACCAC